GCACAGCTATTGAACTTCTTCAAATAAGTTACTTGATGTAGTGGCAGGTGTTCTGCAAGTGTAGTACGGCCCGATTTTTGTCTACAGGGCATGATTTAACTAATAGTCTATCTGATGGGTTTCTAATACAGATCATTCTGCTAATCTCTTGTATTTTATCCAATGTCAGAAATGCTTCAGTGGTGATAGTACTTTGATACGCATGTAAAAGACGGTTGGTTATACCCAAACTGTTACCTGTATAGACCTTAGTATCCGATTTAAACAAGGAGAGAAATCCACAAGAACGCTGCAAAAACAGACAAGCACAGGATTTGAAAGTAACTCTGTTTTAATGGCTTGTCCCAAATGTCATCTGCTGTTGTGCCTCTGAATATAAATATTCCATAGCACAAAGTAAAACTTAACTTCTTTTGGCTCTTTCATCTTCCCTGTTTTGAAGCCCTGTTTTATCATTCGTTTCTTTAGATGACTTGTCCTTACTCTTGTCCTGTATGTAACAATTTTTCTGTGGAAAGTAGTCTGCTTATGAGTGAAATAGAAGTGTGTCGTGTTTAAAAAGAAGATGCTATTCAAATTTTGCCAAGCATAACAGGGTTATCACCAACTTTCAATATTGTACATCTTTCACACCTAGGCTGTAGTTGATCCTGCTTTTTCTAGCAATGGGCTGTGGATATTGTTGCACGCCTCGTTGCAATAATAACGTATAATGTGATTTCATGTTTATATATCTTCCTAATGGTAATTTGTGAGCGAAATGTAATTGTCTAATGAAAACCATCCAGGAAGTATTTAAAGAGAAAATGCTTTAGAATATTTCAGGGCCATTCCTTTCTTACTTTCACTTTTTTTTTTTTCTTTCAGAATATAGGTATCTATATCTTCTGGTTAGCATGGCAGCGGGGGGGTTGTTTGTTTGTAAATTTCCCTTATCTCGCTTTTTCAGAAAGACAGATAAAAACATAAAATGTCACATACTACTGTGGCATTTGGGGGGTGGATAGCTTGCTGGCATTTGGAACTTTTTAGTGCAAGAACCCTACTATCAAAAACTACATGAGAGTTGTAATTCCTTATGCTGTAAATACTTTATTTAATATTTAATTGGGGGAAAGGTAAATACCAAGAACTGCCATCCTAATTAAGATAGGTGAGGGAGCTAAGAATGTTCTTTGCCTTGATTTTTATTCTTCAAAGCACTCAGGATACAAAAGCGTATTAATCCATACAGCAGACAGTCAGAACCACTAACTTCTTTACAGTTGGCCCTTCAAAACTGAGAATGCAAAATGCTGCCTGTTTCTGAAGAACTTAGCACAGTGGGTGCACCATTAATAGCTGTGTTTCAGTGCAGCAGCTAAGCCCTGGTGAAACTGGCTTTAATTTGTTCTGTAGGAACTTGCTCTACAGTAAATGTTTTTATCACTTCTGTTTAATCATTTTGGGCCAATTATTGAGGCTAGGACTGAGAGACTCTTCTGAAAGCAGTAACTGCTTGCTTTGATGCACAGAGCAATCATACACTTCCATTGCTGGTAGACAGTTGCTTGTTAAGTCTCAGTCAGGGAATACTTTCCTAGAAGCTTTGGGGAACCTGTGGTAAAAAAGGTACAGTGGCAGAAAAGAATCTGGGATATTTTCACATTTTAATGAAGTAAAAGAATCGTTGATTAACTCTTACAGTTCTGGCATTCTTCTCTTCCAATTTTGATCTAGCATAGGATTCAAATTCCTGCAAAATTCAGATGTTAGAACAGAAGAAATAGTAGCCACTTGTAAAAGTGTTGGTAACATTATTGATAATGTTCTTTACCAGTTAATTTAGTTTGTACCAGGAACAATGCTAGTGTGTTGTTCTGTTGCAGTCCTTTTGACTCACTTCTGATGTTGGCTTTGTGTTCTCGTCTTACAAACACTGCAAAGACACAAATGTCTTGTAATGAACTGAGGTGCTCCTTTCTGTTCTCAGACAGCTGTAAATTCTTCCTGATATAAAGCTCTTTCCTTTTGCTTAATAGGAGTTGTTGAATCATCTTTGTTTTCCCAAAAGTATCTCTGAAACTTTATTTTTTTTTATTCCAAGGGTTTTCTGTAGGAAGCATTATTTTAGTGGATTTGCTACAATCGTGCAAATAAAACACGGAAGAACAACTCTGCCAGTGAAATTGACACTGTAGTGTTTAATAGGGCCAAAAAACTTTGGTGTTACCCAAAATGGACAAGGAAGTGAGATCCATTGAATGCTATCTGAATGTTCACAGTGTAACTTCTTAGAAGAGCTCTCAAACAATTTAAATCTCTCATCCCTTGAGATGCATAATAAAATACATCAGGTAACCAGCTTCTTGCTGTGCTTTCCAAAACCGTGTTCTACTGGCCTGCAGATTTGTGGAGCCTGGCCAGTAAAGCAGAGTGTTTCTGCCTTTTGGAAATGCTGAATATTCTCCCAGTGTCTGTGCTTGCGTTGATTTTTAATTAGTTTTGTTCCTTTTTTCCTGTATTCGTGCCTCCAGCTTTAGTTCCCATTACCTTAGTTTGCTTGGATCAGCATTCACTAGTAAAGACACAAACCAATGACAGCTGCTTCTGTTTGCCAGGCACTATGTTTATTTTTTCCCTAAATATTTTCATTCAGCAGCATTATTTATACACCTAGAAACGCTCTTTGTGGCCTGGCAACTTCCTGACAATAAATTCTTTCACTGTGTTCTGCTCTGATGCTGAATCAGGTCGTTTTTTTTTCTTGAAGGCAACCAGAGTTGCCACTGAGGGAATCGACATGCTTGTTCACAGTCAGTCGTGCTGTTGTGACCTGAGAACTGTCACCAGAGCTGCTGGTCGCAGCGGTGCGTTGTGTAGGGTTAGGGGGGTTGGTGACTGCTCTCTGTGTGTTAGCTGGTGTCCTGCACTCCAGAACCCACATGTCACCTGGGAGTAGCTAAAGTCACTTCTGTGTGGCTTTCCAGGCATGGTCATTAGTAACCTGAAGCAGTGGGGCCTGAACCTACAGCCGGCCAGCCTGCAGCTGTGCTTTGCTTGGGGATATCTGGACAGTGCTGTCACTCGTTAACGTAAGCATCCTCAAGGTCAAGGAGAGCCCACCGTTTCACCATCCAACGCTTTTGGTGGATACGTAGGGGTGCTTAGCATTGTGGGGCTGTTCGTTCTGATTGCTGAGAGAATCTCTACGAGTGAGCTGAAAGTGAGCGTTCATATATTAACTTCCTTTTTGGCAGTGGTACGATAGCTTGCGTTTTGTGCGGCCAAATGAACTTGGGCACTGAAAACTGTTGTTTTATTCTTCCCTTTCTTGTTTTCCTCTTAACTCTACTTTGCCTACAGCTATTTCATTTCAAGCTATTAGAGGTGCCTACTTCAAGGCAAACTGGTCTGTTACATATTCAGTGGTGTTCAAAAGGAAGAGTACGTACTGTATAAAGAGATGAGTAACATTGTCAAGGAACAAAAAGTTGGCTGTGATGGTCTCTTAGGAAACTCTGAAGTTAGGAGATGAGGTATCTGCAATTGCATGTGGGTTATGAAGTTAGTGGGATTGGAAATGGGCCTCTAGTAAACCAGTCACTCAAACAGTCATGCTATAAAATGTTATAATCCTCGAAGCAAACTACTTTGGCGCTGCTTTATTGCTATTTTTGTAAATATTGTGATAGTAGTTATCAGTTAAAGCTCAGAAAAGTGTCATGGCTCTCTAGCTTGAAGCAGAGCTGGATTTCTGATTATTCAAATGTGGTCAATTGTTGCCTTGACATATTCACAGTAAGAGGCAAAAAGAAAGGAGATCACCTGTTTCTAATTCAGTTATTTCAGATGTTAATGTATTACTCCTTATTCTGATCACGGGAAGCATTCTTGTATCCAACGGTGAAAGTGTCAGACCAGGTGGAGCAGAAATTATGACAGAGGGAAACTGATTTCTCCAGTTGCCTTGAAATGGCAGCTGGGGGAATGACAGGCTTTGAAATGAGGTGCATATCCATAGTGCCTGACTTGAATTGTTCTAAACAAGGTATTGAGCAGAATTCTCTCCGGTACAAGCTGATAATTTGAATATTTCTTGGAGTATGGTGTGTTTTGCTTAACTGTCTGCAGTCAGAACTACTCATTGAGCATGAATTGCGCATGGACTTGCTTTGTCTTTGAGATTAGTAATTTGTGTGATCTTTCCAACCATTTACATGCAAAACATTTATTTCACAAAGTACAGAAATAACTTGTATAGGCACTAATTAATTTTGCTGGTTTTCCTTGAGGTTGTAATCTAAACAGCACGGTTCAGGGATGAAAGGGACACTAAAACTGAACTTTGAATGTCAGTAATTCCTGATTGTATTTTCAGGTTTATCCTTTTTGATAAAAAAGGGATAAGTAGATGAAAAGACACCTGGTAGTACCCTTTTTTTTTTTTTTTAGAACACATTTCTTCTAAAAACTAGAGACGAAAACTATGTGCTAGTTAGGAGGACAGTCTTAGCAGGCATATCCCAACTTGCATATGTATCTCTGAGGAACTGTATAGGCCTTCGTGAGGTACTCCTCGGTGCATGGTTTTGAAGATGTCAGCCTTACGTAGACACACGTTATATAACACTGAGGCAACACTGTGAGGTTTTAAAGCATTCATGGGAGGTTAGATTGTTACTGATTTAACAACTACTTTCTTAAGGTGGATGTATTTCTCACACACTTTCATGAGTCAAAAAATTGTTAGATATTATTTTTCTTGTTGTTGTACTTGTTAACCAGCATTTCTGCAAAGAACCTATAATGTATATTGGCAAGACTATGGAGCAGTATATCTTAAGTTTCTTTGCCAGAACGTTGCATATGTGTGGCATGCAGAGGAGAAGACGTAGCCATCTCCTTAGTGTAAAGGACTAGAGATGCTTACGTGGTGTCCACACTTAACGGACTTTCTCATAATAAAAATTTGCATGCAGCTTTGAAAACTGAACACTGTTCTTTACCTTTGATTGCAGAGTGTCAATAGCATACCATGTCCTGTGACTGCAGTCAGAACTTTACCCACCTTAGAAGTTAAACAAGCAGAAAGGCCTTCAAGCAGAAGCAGAGATCCTCCTAGGGATGAAGAAAAGGAAAAGAAAAGAAAAAAACACAAGAAAAGGTCTCGGACAAGATCTCGATCACCATTCAAGTATCATTCATCGTCTAAGTCCAGATCTAGATCACATTCAAAAGCAAAGCATTCACTTCCCACTGCCTATAGAACTGTCAGGCATTCAAGGTGGGTTTGGAAACCAAGCGTGTTCTTTAAAGTTCTGTGTGGGCTAACAAAACATTTTTGCACTCCTTCCATTATATAAGCGTCTTCGTACCCATTACAGAGGGTATAGTCACCTTAAAGACAGTAAATAAATACCATTAAATATGGAAGATCTTTGAAAATAGTTTTAATGAAATAATGAATCATTAATTTCTAGTTACATAGTGCAAAGTTTATACCATTAAAGTGCTTTTTCACTTTGGTCTGTGAAATACATGGCAGTGATATGTAGGAGTGTGGTTACAGCAGGAAGAGAACTTCCTAATAAGTCTGTGGCTGTTGCTGGAGTGAAGTAACCAGACAACAGTAAGATAAGAAACAGGGGTAGAAAACCGGGTGGTTTAACAGTAAAGCTCAGAAGGAAAGAAATCAGTTGGGTAGTATGTGAAAGAATACAATGGATGAATGGCAGGAGAGGTGTGACAGGAGTACAAGAAGGGTGAGAACAGTTGATGAGGAAGGAAGACCATAGAAGAATGTAGCCCAGTGCAGTTAACTCTATTAGTGAGATTAAATTCAGTATATTAATTATCCAGCTATAAGATTATAGATATTCTGTTATACTAGTACTGATAATTGCATCTAAGACATTTGGGTCTAGGCACCTTTCAAGTTTACTGTCTGTAAAATTTGTCATATCTGAATGTCCTGCCACATAGCAGTTACCATTTCAGGAAGGGTTGGTTCTTGCAGTTGCATTCTCTGAATCATGCTATGGAGCAGTGGTTAAGTAACTTGTGGTTCAAACAAATTGTGCATGTAAATACTACCACAGCTACGGCCAGGGTGGACGAGACGTTGAGCAGCCTGGTCTGTGGAAGGTGTCCCTGCCCATGGAGGTTGGGACTAGATGATCATTAAGGTCCCTTCCCACCCAAACCGTTCTGAAATGCTATACATGTATGTTGATGCGTGCAGAATTGTACGTTCCTTTATCTTTGTGGCCATGCCTGTGATAGATGCTTCTTCCTGAAAAACAGCTTCTAGCCCTTTACAGCAGTGTAACAAAACTTCTCATCTTATATTTTCCTTGTGCATTTTTATGTGTTTGTTTAACAAAGTGTCTAACTATACTAACTTGACTAAATGTTAACACGCTGCAATTCTTTATTTTTACTAGGTTTTTAAGGTTACATACAAACTTTTCTGAAGACGTCTCTGCTATTCAGAGATGCAAGGAATTAAGTAAACTTACCTTGAGCTGAAACGATCAGTCTGACACGTTGCCTATTTGACTGCCTTATAGCATCATGACCGCCTGTTGTCAGTGTTGTAAGGCACATTCCAAAATACTGTCTGTCATTCCTTTTCTGCACTTCCCAGCATGTAAAGGGTATGATGCTGAATGAAGCTTTCCTTTTTTAAGAAGTGAATGCAAATGAGTTAAGGTTATCTTGGGGAAAAGTCTCCTCAGGTGAATCATTCATCTTTTCAGTTCCCTGTCAAGCCACATTTCACTCGAACCTCCCATGTCACTTCACCCAAGCTATGTTGCATATATTTATCCACTATTTTACTTACTCATGGTAAACCCGAGGAGGAACATCCTAGTATTGCTAAAAAAAAAAAATCCATTTAAATAATCTTCTGTTGTACCTTGAAAAGGACAGAGAATCATCAGAGAAGATCTTTACCAGTACTTGGGTCTGCCAGTCCATAGGATAATCCTGAAACTTATAAATTCTTGACAGAACCTAGAGCTGAACAGGAAAGGGCTTCCCATTCAGCCTGTCTTGCTGTTCATCGAGTACCAGTTTAAACAAAGGTCTCTGGAGAGTGTGTCTCCCATTCAGAAAGCCATTGTTGCTGGGAACTTAAGGCAGTATCATCGGTGCTGAGTTCCCTTGAGCTTTTTGCTGGCTGTATGAAATGTTTTAGTGGCAGTTATATCAGGAGGGAGACCTGTAAGAAATTTGAAGATACCTTCCTGTCTATAGCAATTCACTAGAACATGGCTAAATCTAAACTTCTGCCCAAGGATCTCTTGTAATTCAGCTGTAATGAATACCTTTCTCCTGCATCTGATACCTAATACAGTAACTGCATTGGTTTACTTTAGTGGAGTCTGTAAAGACAAGCAAGTCCCATGCAGGATGCATTGTGTCTTCTCATCTGGAAGATGTTGTTTTGTTTGGCGTCAGCTAGAGTACCATGTCCAGTGTTGTGCACCCTTTAGACGGAATAAGCCCAACTGGAGGAAGTTTAGAGGGAATAATCAAAATTTTTCAGAATTTTTTTTAAGAGGAGAGTTGGAATGACTGTTTAGGAAGACTGAAGGAAGATTAAATGAGTCTTATATATGCTTCTTCAGTGCTTGAGGTTTGGGCAATACGTAATGGATTTAAACTGGTAACAGAGAGACTAGAAAGGTTTCATAGTGTCTCAGTGGTGAAGGTAGTTAATGCAGCTTTTGAATGCTCCGCTGTGGGAAATTTATGTATCAAGAATTATAGTTCGGAGAATATTGAATAGTCTTATTTCTTGAAGTCTTTTCTAGGCCTGCTTTTCTAATTAGAGTCCACGTGGCCTCACATGATACAAAAAAATGGTGGTTAGAGGTCTACTTTATTGAAGGTGTTGGCTACACCAACGTATGTTAACAAACCTTATTTCCAAAATTAAAGCTCTTGCTTCTGAAACCAGAAAATGTGTAGAGCAATCAAGAGTGGGAGACTGATTCATAACCCAGTCAGATGCTGATGTGTTTTGTCTATCAAATGTTTAGGTAAAACTAATGCCTTGTTCTAGTAATTGCCAAGAAAAAGGCAAGTGTTGTTGCCTAGCTGGAAGATAGGACTGGTTTTCTTTCTTTTCATTCATTTATTTGTTTGTTTTTCTATTTATTTACTGCTGATTCACAGAAAATTCTTTCAATGCATTGTCTTGTCTTACTCAAAACTTGGTACCTTTCACATCTCTTTGCTCTTCAGTTTTCCTAGTCCTTTACCTAGAATGATATGGGGTTTTTCCTAGATTCCCAAAACATTGGTTGTTAACAACTTACTGCTGAATGGTTATGTAAAGAGTTGTATCCTCTGGGATGAAGCGTAAACCTTTTGTAGAGGTTCATGTCTTCATCTTGTCTTAAGTGGATGATGCGTAGAGATAGTCTTTATTGTGTGGACAGCGATGCTAAATTATAATGGAACATCCCTATTTTGAGTAACTGCTGTATTTGAATGTCTCAGTCTAATGTTGTATGTTTGAGATTTTGTTGCCTTATTTTATTCTGTTCAAAATGTATATTTTAATGTACAAATCTCAATATAATGTGAATATCTATGTTTTATTTTACCTCGAGTGTGGACTGAAAAAGCTGGAATTTTCCCCTTCTGTAGCAATTACTCCTCCAGTTCTTGTTATTCAGATAATTTAGAATGAGAAGCAAAATCATCTTCCTAACAAACCTTCATAACTTTCTTAGAGAGTAGCTTATTACGTTTGAAGTATCTGCACTGTGAAAATAAGGATTTTGCATTTGAAGTTATCGAAACTATTATATTTAAATAGACTGTGACAACCAAAAGAAGAGCTGTGCTTATTTCATAATTTTTCATTAGGCAGTATCACATTCAGAGGATAATGAATTGCCAAGTCTGAATTGTGATGATGACCTCAACACATGCCCTGTATATGCCCAGTCTTAAAGCCTTAGATTTTGTGAGGTTTCCATATAGATATTAGTTGAGCTTCTATTTAAAAACACTTGGAGTAGTTACTATTTAGTAGTACAAGTCGTTCCAAAAAGTAAGAGTAGAAAGCACCTTTACCATACAACTTTCTGTGACAACTTAATAGGGAATGAGATGTGAGAGGCGAAGCTAAACACAAATTTGCAGTAACTTCCTTTTGCTTGTTGTTCAGGTGATCTTCAGTATACTTTTCAAGTTTTTGCCTTTTTAGTTTGTGTATCTTTTTTTATTTCCAAAATGCATATTTTGCTTAGAAATCCTGCAGATGAACTTTGCAGTATACTTCTCTGCATACCATTTTATATCGCTCGGTTAGCATAGGTAGAGGCTCTGCATTTAAAAATAGTGTTGGTGGTAAGATAGTCTTTGGTACTGTTGCTTTTTTTTTTTTCTAATATATTTTCTAATGCACTTCAGCAGTATAAAGTTGAAAAATTCTTTTGAAATAACATGAAGTTGATTCAGAGCATGTTTTGGATTTTTATTTTTCTAGCTGGCACAACCAAACCTGTTTTACAGAAACAAGTTTAAAAAAATTGGAGCTACATAAGGAACCCAGAGAGTTTGGCTTAGTTTTAGCATGTGATGTGCTAACAGCAGTTCTCTGTATAAATACATGTTATTTTATGGAACAAAATTTCTGTACCACATTGCCCAGAGAAGCTGTGGATGCCCCATCCCTGGAAGTGTCCAAGGCCAGGCTGGAGGAGGCTTGGAGCAACCTGGTCTAGTGGAAGGTGTCCCTGCCCATGGCAGGGGGGTTGGAACTAGATGATCTTTAAGGTCCCTTCCAACCCAAACCGTTCTATGATTCTATGAAATTAGTCCAAAATTGCTCCTGGTATCATGCAGTTTTAATTCTAAACCAACATGACGACTTAAGCAAGAGTAATGGAATCAGTAAAGCATGCCCAAAAGTGCTGCAAGGTGCTGCAACATGGGTTGCTTTGGGGCTGGTAGTCCCACAGAGATAATTAATTATTACAAATAAGTGCTTAGCGTCAAAGATGCACATTTGTTAAATCTGTCTTGGAAAACAAACAGCCTTTGTTACCTTTCAGTCATCGGTAGTAAATGCTTCATCAGTGTCTTTTTTTTTTTTCTAATCGACTTCAAAGCACCGTAGCAAAGTTTGATGTGAAATGTCCGTGACAGCGGGGCTCCGCAGAGAAGTGTGGGTTGTCAGTCACTGACCTTGCAGTCTGCTCTTCTAGCTGAGAAGTCAGGTTTCACAGCCGGCTGGCAGCAAGTCTAAATAATGACAGTGGTCATCTGAATCTCTTTCCTACCAACAGACCTTTGTAGTACATCATCTGAGCTACTGATGTGTTTTTACGTGAGCGTGGGTTGTGTGTGTATGTGAGGGGAGAGGAAGGGAAGTAGAGGCGCTGCTATGCCCAGTACTGAGTGGTTTAGTGATTTGGGTAGATGAAATCTGGATGTTTGTTTTGAACTAGAGATGGAAAGTCTAAACATCTCTTTGATATTGATCATTATTCTTTATACTGCAGTAACAGAGTAGTAGTAAGCCACATAATTTATCTAGTTAATGAGTTACAAAAAGGAATTAGTACTGGCATACTTTATTAACAGGTTACTTTTCAGTGTTTGCATAGAGTACACCTGTGTGTGTGTGAGCCTTTTTCCCTCAATGTTAGGAATTCAGGAGAGTTGGAAGTAGCCGTTCTTTGTAAAAAAAGTTGATTGTGGATTTTTGTCCTTCTGAGCTGATTTTCTTATTGCTGAGGCAATGTCTGTTCATGTAGTATAATTCCTGTTTTGTAATGAGACATGCCAAGCTTCATAACCCTCTGAACTTTTGGGACCATACTAAACACAAGTGATACTGACTTTAAAGGAATAGAGTGCCTTTTGAAATAACTGCCTAATGAAAGTAACAAGTGATGTATTGCAGTAAAACTGTTGGTTTTAATAGTTTGAAGCTAATGGCGAAAGTTCTTAACATTTGCTGATGGGAAGAATGTTGTAGAACCACAAATGTCACTTCATAAAAACGAAGCTAATGCTTTTTTCTTTCTGATTGTTTGGACTTTTTTTAGGCTGGTCCACATAGGCATGTTTCACTAAGGTTCAGCTTTTGGTTAAGGGACTGAGCCTTTTCAGGATTCTAGTTAATACCAAAACTAGCACATTTTATTCTGAATGTGAAGTGTGTGCCTCCGTATCACAGACTCACAGCATCCACAGGGACACTGAGCATGGAGCGGAGTCTGAGCAGCTCATCAATGGCAGCAGCAGCCGCCGAGCGGGAAAATTATCAGGCAACTTCGACAACGAAAAGATTTGACTGCTGGAGCTCTTTTGAGGGAAATCCTGGTAAAATGTCAAGGTGTCTGACTGACCCTGAACTTTATAATCTGTTGGTTTTTTTCCTTTTTTTAATCCGTCTGAATGGCCTGGTAAAGATCAGATTCCTAAGTGACAAAGCAGTTAATTTGCAACACTTAACTGCCATTGTGATTTTCTTTTCATTTGCAATTGATTTTGTTGTAGGTGTAAGAGAAATGCCTCAGGAGTGTGTGTGTATGTGTTATGTATAAGGTGTAAGTCTGCAGAAGATCAGTGATTTCATAAATGGCTTGTCTTTTAATTACTGTAAATTAGGTATTTTCAAGAACATGAATGTTTGGTATACATGGAATGACATACCTATAATAAATAAATAAGACCTTTAAAATAAATAAGTAAGTGGAAGTAAAATTATTAGAACCATCTATTCTAGTGAGAACAAAGGTTACTGTCAGGAATTCTGGGCAGACATGTGGTCTGTTTCTCTTCTTTCTTTTCTCCAAGCTTGGTGCCTGAATTGCTCCCTTCTCCATCTTCCTTCCTCCCCTCCATCTCTCAGGACTTCTCTCATTCCATTTATTTTGTTATGAAGGAATACTCAGGTTTTGTGTGCACATACATTTAATTTTAAATCAGAGAAAAAGATTTAAGCTCCTGAGTTGATGTCTGATCTTAACTAGGCATGCTTTCTTTCTTCCCTCTTGATCTCTTTTTTGTTCTCACTTTTCTAGGAAAAAAAATCTCAGGTCAGAGTGCTAGTGCCAGACAATGATGATCATGGGTTGTTGGTCACTTGCACAAGTGAAAATGTTGGCTGGGCTAGGATTATGCTACAGCATCAGGGACAAAATTTCCTGGACTTGTCAGTGTTGGAGAAGTTAGTAAACTCTGCCACAAAAGGTGCCTGGCCTAAAGTAAAACTTTCCCACCTACTAATACAGAAGTTGACATTAGCACACAATATCAAAAAACAATTGCTTTTTTTCCCTCTGTTGGGAGTGAAAAGCAATGGATAACTGTGTCCTAGATGTCTTGCACGAGTAAGAAAATTTTATGCAGCTGACAAGTCTTGGAGACTAAATGTCCCATGTTTCAAACAGGCATTTGAAGGATGTCATATTTGCGTTTGGTGACAGCACAATCCCACTGAAATAGAAGTACTGAAATAAGTAACAAAAAGCAAACTTTTGGATGGTTTTTTTCCTTCTCAGATCACGATCAAGGTCACCTAGGAGAAGGGCTCACACACCAGAAAGGCGGAGAGATGAAAGAAGCGTTCCAACAGCTTATCGCATTAGTAATAGTCCTGGAAACAGTAGGAAACGCCCACGTTCCAAGTAAGTATACCTGGTCCTGGAGAAGGTTACTGGCAGAGTGGGATGTGAAATATAAATCAAGATGTGCCTTTTTTGAGAGCACCTTGCATATAGTCTCTCTGAACCTATTACTGCCAAAACAGCATACCAACCATTATTTCAGCTCGCCATTTGCAAAAGAAAAATGTCTGCTAAGTGTGTGCCTAGAAGGCTTTGATGGCTCTGATGTTTTGTGGCATGTTGTTCTTCAACATGCAAGGAAGTGAAAATTTTTCATGCTTGAATATGTACATGTAAAGTGTACACAAAACCCAGCACACTATATGCTCAGTTTAGTAGCTTGACAATTTTTTTCCTTGTCGGTGAAGATTTAGTCTTTAACTTGCTTCTCCATCTCTCTTGTGGAATAAGAAGCAGAGATCACTTCCAACTTTGACTATTAAAAAATTTCTATTGTGTCTTAAGATAACTTTCCATCTCTTGACAGCCTCTAATTAATTCATGTGTGGTATGTATAACTGAGAACTTCATCAGTGCACTTCAATTCAGTTTTTCACACTCATCAACTGGAGATAATAGAGGCTTCTGTGGAATTCAGCATGCAAATGTGCTTAAGCAGAAAAGATATGGAAGCTTAAAATGTTTTTCTTCCTGTAAGCACACACATGATTTTTTTCAGAGTCCAGTGCTATTTTTAATGCAGTGTTGGTGTGTCTGCTGCTTGACCATTCAGCATGTTAAGCTATAAATTATTTTTGGAGTTATGCCACTCCAAGTGGTAAATTATGATGATAATTGTGAAACAAATGGGCTTCCTCTTCAGCTATACTGTTTATATATGTGGAAATTGTAAGCTTTTGTTAGACCTCAAACAGGAATGGAACACTACACAATAAAATACGGCAGTAGGTGCAAAAAGAAGAAAGAATATTGTAGTTAAACATAGATGTGAGGATGGTTTGCAGCTCTGATTGCAGAAAGCCTACTGTTTTTGTCTTGTTAGGACTGACATGTTAAATTTTCAAGTAAAGATGTTGCTACTGTGATGGACCAGTTTTCATCTTTAGTTATGTAATAGATTCTTTGCAATGGTATAATGGAAGCAAGGTTGGGTTCAGGGTTACTTGGGCTTTCTGAGTAATGTATAGTTTGCCTGATAGCTGAGAGCAGGTTTCAGTCTTACATGGATGCAGTCAGCTGACTGATTTTTATTAACCATAGTCACACTAAGATGTAGGCAAGCGTTAGAATCCAGTACTGTCAGAGGACTGAAAATTAGAATTGACAAATACTGCAATGTTTTAAACTTGCTTGGGGCATTAATCTGATATCAGTTACGATGCTGAACAGCTAGCATTGCTTGTAAATTTTTAGGTGTATTTCCAAAAGAAAATAAGAAGAATTAGTAAGCTATGCTTAATTTTGTTGCTGCTTGTAGAATGACTTGTACTTCAGAATAAATACAACACTTGTTTTTACTTCTGGTTATCCTGTACCTCAGTTGCCATCGCAGTCACTTCAAAAACAAGTCTAATGTAAATTAGTGTTGTAATCTGACTGCAGCAAATTGCTTTCCACAGAGAATATGCATAGTCTTTTATACTAGCTTTTGTACCTAGAAGAATATTAAAAAATAAGTCTAGTTTTAGCAAATTAACTATTCTAAAAGTGGAAAATTGATAGACATATTCATTCAGCTGTTATGAAGTTTGTTCATTGTAATCTGAGATGAAAAACACTGAAAAAGCTTATTGTAAAATATTCTTCTTGCATGATGAATGTTTGCTGAGATTTTTGAGAGTTAAGTATGAAATATGTTCACAGCTTGATTACATTATGATATTTCAAGAAACTGAGCAATTACAGTGTATGATTAGCTAGTCAAGGAATAACCGACTTTGTAGGTGATGCTTTTTGTATAGTCACGAAAATGTTAGAGGCCGGTAGAGCTGTGGGGTTTTCCTTCTGCCACTTAATGATTATTAGGCAAGAAAAGTATAAGGAGGTCTTGCAATTTTAAGTCTTGAATGTTAAATTCTATATAAAAATCAGATATTTTTATGGTAAATTCTAAGCGTCAGAGGTGTACAGTTTTTATATAGGCATTTAATATGTTTAATAGGTACTTTTCAGTTCCTAAGACAACCAAAATAAAGGGACCAATAATGTGATACTTAAAAGATGGCTCAAAGTTTTACAGTGTTTTAAAATGTTCTAGAAGCTTCAACATTCTTCTGGATAGACTTCTAGCAGTGCGTGCTAGAGAGGCATGCCTCAATGAGGTATTGCCTATCTCTAAGGCATTACTCTAGTAATTCTAATTACAGTAATATCAATACTGGTATGTAAATCATACAGACTTAAGTTCATAACCAAGTACAAAAGAGATTTTTGCTAGTTCCGTCTCTAGTATATTACTAATTGAATTCTCTTTGAGCTTAACGAGCACATGAGGAGGCTGTCTTTGTTTTCCCCTTTTGTCAATAATGAACACATCATGTACCCATAAGTCCTTTGTTCCAGCTCTCATAGTGACAAATATTTGTGTATGTAATTCCCAAGTCATAAACAGTTTGCACTTAAAACATCTTGCTAGGTCAAGGCTTGTTTGAGTGGCATACTAGAGCTTGTTTATGATTTTGAGCCTGCAGTTTGTTGTATTATAAATTGGATCACAGGGAAAGGGGTAATTTCTTTTAAAAAGCAAACAAACAAAACCATGGATTTGCCTTATAGATCTTTTTGTCTAGGTATGATTCCATGGTTTGGTCATTTGTGACCTAGGAAAATTGTAAGGGGTGTAAACTCTTAAATTTCTTACTATATTCTAAGTGTCAGATTTGTTAGGGAAGAAACTTCACTCTAGCTAAGTTATTCTGCAGATCTCCAATTAAAGACTTCATTGTTATCCTCAAACTATCAAATACTGGCCAGTAACTCCTGTGTACCCATGAAGCAGCGTTCCAAGTGAGAACCTCAGGTACTAGTAGTTGCCTAATGTAAAATGTTAAGCAGAGCTTCTGAGCAAGTATTTTGCACAACCATTGAAGTGCAGTATTGGGTTAAGACTGAAATGCTTGCTGAATGCACGAAAAGCATCCTGTGGAAGAGGGCTACATAAGCTTTTAGAAGTGTGAACAATTATTTCAGCTGAGCTAGTGTAATGTTGCTTTAAATATCCTTAAGTAAAGTATTTCATTCTTGCAGAAGTCCCCATGAAAAGAAGAAGAAGAGGCGGTCTAGATCACGTACCAAGTCCAAAGCTAGGTCTCCTTCACCATCCATGTCACCAGGCAAACCATCCACACATAAAAATTCTGTACATTCAACTAGTGTCTCTCCTGTGGAGAGCAGGGAATCCAGCCAGGAACGCTCCAGGTAACATGCTCTTCCTTTAATACTGCAGTGCTGATGGCTCTTGACTGTGAGCACATCTTTTGACCTAACTGGGGTGGTGGTGAGCTCTGTGTGCAGTGTGTGCGCAGTAAAAGCAGAAGACGCTGGCAGGACGGCACTGTGTGCATCAGGCTAATGAAGACATGTGATCTCTGCCTACTGGAGTAAACATCTTGACATGCTCTTACAGTAAAACTGGTGCAGAAGAATCTGCAGCCTAATTCTAAGTTGGAAATTTGAAACTGTCACTGAAAGGGGTAACTCTCTGAAGTAGAATTTTAATAGAGTGGTTTGAATTGTAATATGTGTACAAGATTCGTAATTGAATTATTTCTACGAAGTATGGAACAGTCCTGTTAAAAATCCCTAGGGTGCTGTTCAGATTTCTCCGTATCAGTTGTACGAGTGACTCTTCTGACTGAGTTGTCATGGTTTCAGTTGAATGAGAGAACTGTTGGCTAACATATGAGACACCTGTACAATAAACCCCAAAATCGTGATGGTGAGTGCAATGCATTTTTAAAACATTTACTATAAATTTCTAATTCCAGTTTTCCTTTTTTAGGGGAGTTTCTCAGGAAAAAGATGGCCAAATCTCTTCAGCAATTGTGTCTTCAGTACAGAGTAAAATCACTCAGGTACAAATAAATAAATTCAGAGTATGTTGCCTAATTGTGTCCATCATACCGTTTTCTTCTCTTACTGCCTTGTACAATTCTGAGCTTTGCACATGATGTAAAGACATGTTCATTGTCATTCTTAATGTTTGCTTATGAGGAAAACCAATTCTGTTACTTCTGTAGCTGCTGTCCTTTCAAGCTTAATCAAGCCTCTAAAGACCAAGCTAAATCGATTATGCTGCAGTCTGTCCGCTGTTAAGATCTGAAAGTCCACATGATGCTACAGTACCCCAGTTACCGCTCTCAGGTATCACAGAGAGCCCATCTTACCATGTAGTGCTCTTAACAAGTGTCGTGGGGAAGAAAGAAAGAAGGAGAAATACCTTGCAAGGGCTAAGTTTGTAGTGTTGGCTGTAGAGGAGAAATGTCCTCTTTGCAAACTGAGCAGCATCTTCAACTCGCTTATCTTACTGCTGTTTCTGTCTGTGAACTGTTTTTGTTCTGTTGTCACAATTTCATTGACATGTTCAAGTTCGCTGGGAATCATGGCACATCAGGTATGTGCCTCTGTGCTGTGTGATAATCTAAATGCATTCACCTTCCCTAACGCAGTTTTAAGATACCTACTGCCATCAAAATAATTCCATTCCCTTTTTAAACACTGCTACATGGTATCACTTTAAAATGTTTAATTTCACTCATCCTCTCTGAGTCTTCATGCATATTTAACGTTCTTTCAATTGAGTATGCCAAGTTTAGAGGAGGAAAATTCTTAATTATGCCTTGGAAAATTTACAATATAAAACCAGAGTTGCTTTTTATAATTTTTTTTAATGCATGGATTTTTCTTTCAATAAGTTAATATTGTTCAGAGATTTAGTTCCGCTAGGGAAACAGTGGTAGTTGGGAATTAATACTAGTAGACTCATACCTTACATACCATATTTGATCTGTTTTCTGTGAGAAACCCAAAAGAAGAACATTCAGGAAAATAGAAAATAGCAAGTATAGGCACCAGAGAAAGAAACTGGAGTATTAGACATAGCAGTTCATAGGCTACCAAATGCCTGAAAATTCCTGGTGTAAGAACTACATCATGATTTTCAAAGTGGAGTAAACATCCCACCCTTTAAAAACATATACCCTTCAGACACAGGTAACTGCGTTATACATTTCTCGGGTTGAATATTGGTTAGGGAATAGCATCTGCTAGTTTAGTATCAGTCTGCTTGCTTGAAGTGCAGCTGTAAGAGGATGAAAGATGACTATATTAAAATACAGCCCTTAGTTACTATTTGCAGAAAGTGTAAAAGAGGAATGAATCTTGTGAATCTGCAAGATAGTTCCCAACATAGACTAGTTTAGCATCTTTTTGTCTTTAAGGGCCCAAAGAAATGTAATTTACCTAGTCATTAGTAAGATTATTTTTCTGGCTAACTGACCCTGACCAATTCAGTATCTTTTCTCATTCAAATCCTTCTGTCAGAAAAGTGGAATAATGATGCTGAACTCCCCTGTGAAGGGTTTTGAGAACTTCAGATGAAAAGTGTTTTCAACAACAGGATTTTAATTCATTTTTATTGCATTTATGAAGAAATATTTTAAGTAACATTAATTCATCACTGATACATACTTTCATTTGTGATCATTTTTTGCATCCCAGTTGCTCTGTCATTTACATGAAATTTCATTTCATTTTGTACGGCTGTTCCCACTGGATACTCTGACAGGACTGAGAGTTGTGATTTGGTTTCACAACAGTCTTACTGTTTCAGGCACTCTCTCATATGTGAAAATACTGCTGCTATGGAGATTTTTGGTTTGGGTTTACAAAGCAAACAAAAAAGCTTTCTATTCTGGAGTAATCGTTAGCACTTTCTCCTTACCAGCTCTCTCTCTTTTAACCTTTTTTCATAGTTTCTTCCCATTTCAGTTGATGTGATTTCTGTGGGTATTTGTATAGAAACTGCTCTCAGTATTGATGCAGAGCACTGGTATTAAAAACAGACCTCAGTTGGTGTCATAGGAACTTCCTCCAAATTATTTCACTCATTTATCCTAGGGGTTGTTAATAGCTGGTGCTCATGAATCTGAGATGCGACTGGAGCATAAGCTAACGCTTTTGTGCAGGTTTCTGCAATCACTGGGCATGTCTGATCATTTTCCTCTTATTTTCTGCAGGATCTTATGGCCAAAGTGAGAGCAATGCTTGCAGCTTCCAAAAACATACAAACTAGTGCCTCC